ATTCAGATTCAGATCATTTTCAATAATGTTTTTAAATTTTCTGAAGAAAATGTGAATCCTCATGCAAAACTCACCTCCAAGATAGGGAAAGTGGTTGCCAAGACATTACTTGTGGTTGCTTTCTGGCTGAAAGTCATGAAAGTTCACCCTCAAAGTCTGTGATATTCTGGTCTCAATGTGGCCCTGGTCCCTTCTTATGTAGGATTTTTGTCACCCATTTTATTTTACCGTAAGTCTACATATATTTTACTGTTTATAGAGCTTTTGGAGCTCTATTGTGTAAGATATATATATATATATATTCTTTTTTTTTTTTTTTTTTTTTTTTTTTTTTACAATATTTTTTTATGTTTCCACGCTACTCAAGCAAATTTATCTTAATTTCTACATATTTATAACAATTTAACAATTTTCACCTCATTACTGTTCAAAAGTTTGAAGTCAGTGAGATTTTTTAAGTTAGAATTAAATTATTAAATTATTATTATATTATTATAATTATTCAGCAAGGATGCATTAAATTGAAGCCATGTGACAAACAGAATCTATTTGGCATTAATCATTTAGTCATTAGAGCAAGATTTTCAGTGAACAATGACTTAAATATCACGCAAGTTACATTTATGATGCTTTATCAGTCTTTTTAAAGTTTGACAGCTCTTATGCTTTCATTTTATGGAAAAGAGCTGCTTGTACATTCTGCCTAACATCTGTTTTTATGCTCCACAGATGAAAGAAAGTGACACGGGTTTGCAACACGCAAGTAAACAATGACAGAATTTTCATTTCTGGGTGACCTATCCCTTTAAGATCACACCAAGCCAGTCCACCTGATCGGATGGATGTTAAACAAATAAAAAGTAAAAATAAATGTGCCCTGGTCAGTAGGGGATTCCCATGTCCTCGGTCTTGACCCCCACCGAAACCCGTCACTAACCCATTCACTAACCAGGCAAGGTGACGCTCCGAACGAACCCCACTTCGTCCCGCAGAGAGAGGGAACGCTGTGACCCTGTAAATAGAGGCGAGGAATGGTGCTGATATGTTGAAGGAAGGAGGGGGGCATGGAAAAAGGATTAAGAGAGATATTCGGCTGGTGATCGGGCTGTTCTTGCAGCCTGTGTGTGGATCTCTGACTCAGGGATAGCAGGGATGTCACATGGGAGTTTCGTGTGATCTTGATGACAGTACAATTGGCCTTGATGCGCTCGTTTGCGCTCTGTCTCTCCCTCTGTTTCCCTCTCTTCCTTTTGGCAGCGGTGCTGTGCCTTCCCCTGAGGATGGGAAGTGTGTTCATGATTGGAGGTAAAGGTGTGATGACTGTACGTTGTGCTCAGGTGCTTACTTCCTGACTGGAAAAATTCTGACTTCCTTATTGGCTCATCGGATGCTCTTATCCAATCAGAATCTGGCCAAGTTCACTCCTTGGCAACTTAATGTTTTTGAGGGAAAGATTTACAGGTAGTCTAGATCTAAATTGAACCTTTTGCTGCAGTCACTCACGCAAACAGATACACGTTCAGCTGTATCTGTCAGTCAGCTTTATTGGCATGACTGTAAACATTTACAATATTGATAAAGCATTTACAGGTCAGAGATCTCAATATGAACTCAATATGAATATTCATATAGATGGTAAAAATTGGAGTACATTTGACAAGAATATACTATTTCAGTATTTTAAATTTCACATTTAATTGAATGTGTTACTTGCCATTTTGTGTAATTATTTTATTGAGTAAATGTGTGTGTGTGTGTGTGTGTGTGACCCTGGACCACACAACCAGTCATAAGGGTCAATTTTTTGAAATTGAGATTTATACATCATCTGAATAAATAAGCTTTCCGTTGATTTATGGTTTGTTAGGACGGCTGAGATACAACTGTTTGAAAATCTGGAACCTGAGGGTGCAGAAAAATCAAAATATTGAGAAAATCGCCTTTAAAGTTGTCCAAATGAAGTCCTTAGCAATGCATATTACTAATTTTGATATATTTATGGTAGGAAATTTACAAAATATCTTCATGGAACATGATCTTTACTTAATATCCTAATGATGTTTGTCATAAAAGAAAAATCAATACTTTTGTTACTTTTATTCATCAAGGATGCATCATAAAAGTAAAGACATTTATAATGTTTCAGAAGAATTGTATTTTCAAATAAATGCTTTTTTTGTATTAAAAAATACTTTCTAGTCATCAAAGAATTTTGAAAAAAAAAAACAAACTAATAAAAATAGGCAGCAAAAACACAACATTTTCAACATTGATAATAATAAGAAATGTTTCTTGAGCAGCAAATCAACATAGAATGATTTCTGAAGAATCATGTGACAATGAGGACTGGAGTAATGATGCTGAAAATTCAGCTTCGATCACAGGAATAAATGATTAAAATATGTTCAAGTAGAACATCATTATTTTAAATTGTAATAATATTTCACAATATTACGGTTTTACTATATTTTTGATCAAATAAATGCTGCCTTGGTGAGCATAAGTGATTTCTTTCAAAAAAAAAAAAAAAGAACACAAAGGAGGAAAAGACAAAAAGTTAGGCCGACTTTCCTGCTTAACAGAATCAGTGAGTCGGGGAGCAGGTCTCAGGATTGACTGAGGTTAAAGAGCAAAGGGTCAAAAGAGCCACAGGAGTGATGAATGGCCAAGAAAATCACACTAGTTTGTGTGACTGTGCAAGTTTGGGTCAAAAAAGAGTGGGAAGAAACAGAGCAAAACATTTCGTCATCATGTTTCATAGGACTTTTTTTAATGATATATTAAACTTTCATAATGCAAGGCTAAATCAATCAACGTTATTGTGGAAAAAAGCATAGTGAAGAGTCCAGTAAATATTTCTCTGGGTGGGTTTCATTAAAGTCAGTTTCTTTTCATTTACCACACGTTGCCACATTATATGGGGTAAGTTGTCACTTTAGGTTGGCAAAATGTAATACTGTATTTCATGTTATAGATATTAATATGAAAGGTAACATGCATATTGTTTAAGCCAACATAAATTGTAATTAATAAATTATATATAATTAGAACACTTGTGAAACTATGAAAATGTGTTTCCACCATGGGATAAAAAAATAAATAAACAAAAAAGGTAAAAAAAAAAAGTGCAATTTTTTTGTCACAATTCTGACCCCCCCCCCCTTATTTTTCTTGTTGAATGTGATGGGAATGTAATTTTAGAAGACAGAATTCACAAAAATAATCCCAATTTATGGCAGGTATGAACTAGATGCACTGCTAGAGAAAACAAGCGTTTGTGTAATTGAACTTCTGACTCAAAATTGCATAGCCTCTGTGACAACTACCCCCAGTCCCCTCTTTAAAGATGCCATGGCTCTGTTAATCTTATTTATCTGTGTTATGACTTATTATCTCTTTTGTGCCATTCCAGTACCTGCTTCATCGACTCCTGTCCTGTCATGTCCTAACCAGACAGTGTTTAAGCCGTCAGCAATGCAAAAGAATAAAAGTTGCATATGTAAACAGATGTACATCAGTCATTGTCACCCACTGTTCAGGTACTTTGCTGCGCAGTTCTCATAATGAGGCCTGTGCATGAGGTCCAGATTTGTCATAAATGCATCTTGTCTCATCATTCTGTTTTCAGCCTCTTCTCAACCCCCTTTCAAACTAATTCCTTCCCCTCCCCCTCTCCCTCTTTCTCTTTATTCAAAGCCATTGATCATGCATGCAGAAATTTAGCACGCCCATAGCTCCAGTCGGGAGCACTGGGGCGCTGTCCTACATACTGCTTCTCCACACACACACACACACACACACACACTCATCCTGAGACCACAATCAAATACACAAACATACACACACACACACACACACACACAGGGCAACCGCGCTGACAAATTCTTGAGCCGTGATACATAAGCACGCACATTTTTTACAAATTGTGGCATGCATTCCTACCTGTTCGGCCTACGAACTGCTCTCAAAACTTTTGGAGCATGAGTTTTATTTTTAATCTGATAATTGAGATTTTCACTTTGTATCTGTTTTCTTGTCTTCCACTGAAATATCAGGTTTCATATATCTAAGATGTACTTGTAGGTGCATTTCTGCTCTAGCTTTTGTGCTCTTAATATAACTGCTGATATTGTTGGCTTTTGTATGATAAATTGCTTTTGCTTTTCCTCAAGTTGCTTTGGATAACACTATGATTTAATATAGATGTCATAGAGATGCATGCTTTTTGCATACAGATGTCATTTTTTCTTGTGCTTTATTGACGTTAACAAATTGGGAAACATAAAATCCACATTTGATTTACTTATGAGATGTTTTGTGAAGCACATAGTTGTTCATTTTTAAATTATGTTTTAAAGTAAATGTGTTCAGAGACAGTAAATATATTTTGAAACGGGCTTTAATATTCCAAATTATTCGACTATTTTTCCAGCCTGCCCTCTGCATGTCAGTACTTATTTATTTTCAACAAATCACGAAATAACAAAACATTAAAATGACAACAATACCACGTGAGATGCTGTTGTTTATGAGGAACAATGCACACCTCCCTGAGGACTACAAATGGTTGTGGTCAGTCTGTTGGCCTCACCCACGCATGCAAACCACCAATCACCTGGTCCTGACTTAGTGCCTATTCAGGCCTGCAGGAATCCAGACTACCAATCACCAAAACTCAGCCTGATGCTGTATGATATTGGATGCTGCTTGGCTGTAGACAGCGCTGGGTTGGTTTGGTTGGTGGTACACACAATAGACACAACAGTGTTACTCTATCTATCTATCTATCTGTCTATCTGTCTGTCTGTCTGTCTGTCTGTCTGTCTGTCTGTCTGTCTGGCTTTCTCTTTCTTCAGACAGACCACGTTTCTGCTCCGCTACTGTACGACAGCAGATGAAAGCGGGCAGGGCCGGGGAGAAAGAGGGGCGGAGCAAACTACGAGAGTCCGGGAAAAGTCAAACGGGAGGCGGTGCCTCAGTGTGTGCAAAATCCACGCCTGGCCCGTCCTCCTCCAGACGGGCCCTCCCTCCCCCACCCCCTCGGGCCACCCGCTCTTGAGTTGGAGAGTCCTGGCTCCCTTTCGGATCACAGTCCGGGCAACAGAGGGACACGGGAATGGACACAGAAGGGAGTCAGAGCAGCCTGTCGTCCTCCACGCAGGACTCCCCACACGACCCCTGGTAAAGCTTCCTCTCTGTTCGGCTTTTCCTCGCGAACGGGAGATCTATATATACATCTATTCATTTAAACCTGAGAGTTTTGGGACCAGGAGGAAAGAGACCACCGGAGACAAAAGACACAAGCGCGGGTTCCTTTACGAAAGAGCGAAAATGGAAACAATGTAACAGCCAGGAGCCTCACTGTTACATTGTTTCCATGTTCCCCCTTTCCAGGACGCGCGCTGTTACATTGTTTCCATCTGTTACAATTGGAAGTGTTAAATTTTTTCCAACACATTATGTTATTACATTCCATTTCGCTTTTTCAAACGGGGATGATCGAACTTGTTACTTTTTAACGGAGAGGAAAGAATCAATTCTGCGTTTGGATTGGAAATAACGGCACCCATCCATCCATCATGGCCGAATTTCACTTTTCCACTTGATTCATTACGATTTTAGGGTGTTGATTACTGTATTTACACATGCACCAGTAATCAATAGCGTTTCAGAAGACTTTCAGATGTCTGATCTGACTCTCTTTTTCACCTTTCAGCAAAATGTTCATCGGCGGGTTGAGCTGGCAGACGACACAAGGTGAGACACGCGTGATCTTCTGTCCTGCGTGCTACTTCCACAAAAAGTCTAATGCATGGGTTGCTGTGAGCTCGTAGGAGCATTTCTTCTTTCTATGATTGTTTGGTTAGAAACAGAAAGCAAATAGTTTCCGTGAAATCAAAGCGTGCATTCAAAGCACGAGCCTAATGCGTAATAGCTATATCGTTTACATAGGTGAATATTTATAGATCAATGGGCTGTTTTATCTTAAAACTTCTCTTGCAATACTTCCTCGAAAACTCCAGACGATATATTTATATATATATATAGTGAGCTGGTGGTGATTTGAGGTGAAAGCAAGGGCGCTATTGAGGAAGCACTGATGTGGTTGAATAAATGCAACATGCAGTGTGGAAAATCTCTGGTTGCATGCGCACTGTGCACGCCTGTGTTGTTATTCAAATACTCAGCTTAGCTTAGAACATTATAATAAGAATGCTTACCAGAGCTTTATAATGAGCACTATTGTTGAGACGCAAAGTGGTCACGGATGGGCAGTCTCAATGCTGATCTAGTAGCAGCAAGCTTTTTGTTTGAGGTACATCAAACATGATTTGCGTCACTAAACTGCTGCTATGAAATAAATGCATTGTGTTTTTCTTTCTCCAGAGGGGCTGAAGGAATACTTTTGTAAATTCGGCGAGGTGAAGGAGTGTATGGTGATGCGGGATCCGGTTACGAAGCGGTCGAGGTGAGGGGGAGGCGCGCGCACATCCGCTGCTGACTTGTTTGTAACTTAATTCTTATGCGTAATGTTATGCTTTTGCGCAGGGGGTTTGGATTTGTCACCTACGTAGACCAGACCGGTGTGGATAATGTTTTGGCCCAAAACAGACACGAGCTGGATTCAAAAACAGTGAGCTTTTTTATCGTTTTTTATTATTCTGCATAGCAGTGATTTGTTTGTTACTTCTTTCTAGATACAATCTAGAAAGAAGTAGTTCTGCATGCTCTATACGGGTCAGTATTTCATCACACCTGCATCAGGCTTATTCTTTGTTTTTGAAGCAGCTGCTTCATATTCTGCAGTTTGTTTCTTAAGCACTTCGATCGGATGAATGCTTCTCGATGGTTTTCGTTTCCTAAGATCATTTTAACTCCACATGCACGAGGCGCGAGGTCCGTTCCTGCAGGTCTGTCTGGCGCAGAGCGCGCCACATGAAAGCGTTCTTTCGCGCTTTTCATCGTCATAGCAACCAGGGGAGCGAAACGGGGCAGAATCAAACTTTTCCAAATCTTCTAGGATTCGATCAACACTCCAAAAGCCTTGTGTAGATGCATGTATATACTTTAAGAAACTCTGCAGAAGTTAGTTTTATTATTATTATTATTACAAAAATAACATGCTGTTATTATAAAAAATATACCATGATTATGCTAATGCAATGGTATTCTTTGAAGTACCATGCAGTACCAATTCACTATGTTTTCAAAATATCTCAGTATTACCATTACTAAACCAAAGACTTAGAGTCTTGTTTTTGTTTTAGATAATGTACTGCAGTCACATTTGAGACTTGTATTTAAGTGTGTTTCTAGTATTATTATTAATATTATTCATATGCATTAAGAAGGTTTAGATATTCATCACAATCTAATAATTTGCATCATGTTTCTCAACTGGTTTTGCCTCAGAAGCCAGATTTGAGAATCTTAAATCAAACACTGAAATGTATTAAACCAGCTGCATAGATCAAGCAATATGCAAAATTATTAACATGACATTGGCTGAATAGGAAGATTGACAATGCATAATGCATAACCAACAGCTGAAGTGATTTACCAGCCAAACACATTAATATACAAATATACAAAATAAATGTTATTTTAGTATTAGCCATAGTGATGGTGAATTTGTAGTACTGTAAAGATTGATCGGATGCACAGCATTTGACGTCAACAACAAAACATCACAAAATAGCTTTTTTGCTGTTATGACTATGCATGCTTGTATGCTTTAATTTTGTTATATTAGTTTTGCCTGATGTCTGTGACCCCCGATCAGAACAGACGTGTAACTCACCAGTTGAGAACCACCAATGTAAATGGCATGGAATAGTTTGAATATATGCTAATATATTTTTCAGAATACTTTAGTATTAATATGGCACAATTACCAAACCGTGGGGATTTTAATGGAAATGAAAGCGGCCTGTAAATCTATGAAACCTAATACATGTTGAGCTCCAGAACTTTTTGTCCAGTTTTGACCGCATTGCACAGAGTAGCGTGCTTGCTAGTAGCTGTATTTGAATAAGTGCCCTGGTTGTGTTTGAATATGTGAGTCCTGGGACGTCACTGATGGTCCTTTGTCAGATCTGTGTGGGTGTGTCAGCAGACAAAACCAGAGCTTTACTACAGAGATGCCACAGACCCCTTAAAAGATGCGTGTGTGTGTGTATTTGTTTGTTGTAAAATTTGGGCTGTGTCGTGGCCTGTTCCCAGTCCTTTCACATTAAAGAATGAGGCTAGCCGAATCATGTTTATACGCATGTTTTTGCAAGAGTATTTACAACTATTGATGGTGACTTAAACACTACTGCTGCGTGGAGAGACTCAGCCTGGCAACACTTCAGTCTCTTGGGTTCGGTCGCCATGTGGGACTATCATCACCATGACAACTTTGTTGGTTATATCCGAGAGTGTCACACACTCTTAAACACGCCCATTAACCGCTGTGACCCTCCATAACACTTGATGGTGTAGATGTGTAGAATAATGCATGTGTACAATCTCTTTATTTTCTGTTTTGAAAAATCTATGGCATCAGTGTTGCATCATTCGCAGTTTGAAATGATTATGCAATTCAAGAAAAAGTCTAAAGTATTTTTCACTTTAATTCATGACGAAGAAGGACAGACTGGCATGTATGAAGACAAGATTTATTTTTAACAGTCGAGAGAAATTCTAATCTAGAATATAATACTTTGTGGCTTCAAGTCAACGTTTGCATGCAATCTGTTTTATTTTCGTAATGTGATGTATTAATTAGTGAATCTTATTAAAATTAAGGCCAGGATTTATCCTTTAGGAAATTGATGTTATTGAAAAAGGGGTTAGAAATGATAACTAGAAAAAGTTAGTTTTTTTCTTCAACAATGTGTCTACACTGTAAAAAAAAAAAAAAAATCTGTAGTTTTTAAAAAAAAAATTTTGGCAGCTGTGGTTGCCAGAATAATTTAGTAAAAAATACAGTAAAATTGTAAAAACATTTACAGAACAAACTGTAAATTTTACAGTATAAAACTGTAATTTACAAACAAGAAACAGTTCAACAATGGACACTGCTACTAAAATCTGTTTTGTATCTTTAACATAAATTGACAACCGGTAAAATAGAAAGGTGGTAAAAGAGACAGCAATATGAAGAATATGTTCATCACAAGTAGCTTTTCCACAATCTGAAGTATATACTAATATATAGAAGGTGCACAGAGTCATTCACACAAACACTAAACACCATCATGGTAACACGTGACACTTAAATAATTCAATAAACATTCATTAAACAACAGAAGATGTACATAACTGATAACAAACATGACAAAACTATTAAGAAACACGATTACTTAAACAAAATACTTTCAAATGTGGAGTGTCATGCAGGGAATTCTGGGAATATCAGTTTACAGTTTTTTACTGTAAATTATATGTTGATTTGTTATTTTTTTTACTTCTAATAATTGTACAGTTAACAGCATTTTACTGTAAAATTACATGAAATGTCTGGTTAGATCTTTTACAGTTTTTCCCTGTATATAGTACAGGAACTTACTGTTAACCTATCAACATTTTTTTTCCCCGTAGCGTTTTTACAGTATTTTACAGTTAAAATTACACTCATTTTTTATAGTGTATTAAGTAAGTAAATATAATACTAATTTATGTCTAAGGTCTCGTGAATTGTGCTGGTGTTCATATTAGACAACAACTAGGGAAATTTTTATGCAAACTTACACTACTGTTCAAAAGTTTGGGGTCAGTTTGATATTTTTTTTATATATATAAATTGAAACGTTTGTTTGGTAAAGATGCATTAAATTATCAAAAGTCAAAGTAAAGACATTTGAAATGGTTCAAAAGTTATTTATGTTTCAAATAAATGCTGCTGTTTTGAAGCATGAAATGAAGCGTTTTCAACATTGATGATAATAAGGAATGTTTTCTGAGCAGCAAATCAGCATATTAGAATGATTTCTGAAGGATCATGTGACACTGAAGACTGGAGTAATGATGCTGAAAATTCAGCTTTGATCACAGGAATAAAATAGTTATTCGAAATTGTAATAATATTTCACAATATAAAAACATGTTGATTCTGATAGCTGTGATGTAAATCTCCATTACAGGTAGCCTATACAGCAAAACTCTGTTTTCTGTGCTGCGATGCAAAGGCTAATCAGTGTGTTAATTGTGTATTGATGGGTTTGAATGGCCTTTTCGTATGGTATTTGAGGCTCTGTTGTGTTAATGTTTTGGTGGGGTTGCTGTGGGTTATTAGGTCACTCCAGTGGGGTCTGAAATGCTGTGTGGGGAGGGATTCGCAAAAACAGGAAGCAATTTTGATAGATAAGACTATTGTGCAAACAGCTCCTCGTCCACTTCAGCTGCGTTTTGAGATTCCAGCAGAACTGCAGAGGAATCGTCAACAGTCTGCAACGCAGATGGCAGTATGTACTGTTTTATTTGATATTTGATGTGGTACTGTAAAGTTTTGCATGTAACAGTAAAGCGTTTCCATGCCGTCCACATTTTCAGTCCTTCTGTAGTCTTTTCTGGGTGTTTGCCTATTCTTTGCATTTGCCATCCATGCGAGGAGCTGAAAAGAAGATATTGTGAAAGGGTCCGTGTTGAAAACAGAAAGAATGTGCCATGCTGAGAGTGTTTTTTCATGCTATCGGCCCTCAGAAGAACGAGTGAAAGAGGATAGGCTGGTAGAGGGGTGTCTGAGCTCTGGAAACGAGAGGTCATATTGTCAAATCTTGTAAAAATAAGGCTAAATTACAAAACAGACATGACAGGATGTGCATTTCTAGAACAATCGGATATAACGTCTTTGCCGTGTGCAAACTATGTGAGAGTTTTATTTGTGTGTTTAAAAAAAAACTGAGTTGTATCTTAACCCTGTAAAGACTGGCATATGCATAACAGTCAAGAGAAATGTAATGGAATTGAAATGGAACAGTTTTTTGAACTTTTAGACAAAATCTAAAAAAAAAAAAAATAAACATCTAAAAAAGGTTTGTATGTGGTTTTTGTTGAGTATCATATTTGATACATCAGGCTTTTATGCCTCATATAGCATGATATAGTGAGAATATAAGGGGAATAAAACACCTAAATTTATTCTAAGGCCCAAACTGAGCAAAAATATGCAATTTGGTGCAGTTACTAATATTTATATGGCCAGAAAGCAAGATAAAATTCAGCTTTTAATGTAAATCAATGAGATCTTTATAACAGTGTAACAGACTACTGACATAAAATCTCCCAATAATGTCTTAATAAGGTAATATTTATAAGCTCTGTAGTTTCTAAACATATAATGCAATGCAATACAATGATGATTGAGAGATGACCAAATAAATGTTCCTCAAATGTCTGATGATCATATTTGATCCTCACATTTCAACACGATTTTTCTAAAAATGATCTATGAATAATCAAGTAAACCAAAGTTGCTTCAGTCCAGTAAGTGTTAAAGTCCCCATGAAATCAAAATTAAAGTTTTTTGGGTGTTAGTATCAATATGTTAGTCTTAAGGTTATCTATAAGGCAGTGTGCTCCAAAACAGTGACAAAATTCGCATTTAGAAGATATAAGCATTCAAAGCTTTCAGTTCGTCACTTCCCCCAA